TATATGATGTTATGTATGTAGTGATCGTATATTAAAAAAATAAATAAAATTAACATATTTGTATTTACGAACACCTGAAGACTTTTTTTCATAAATAATACTATTTTTAAAAATATTTCCCAAAATAACACATTTGGAACATTATTTACACCTAGCACTCTTTATTGTTCACGTATTAAAATAATCGATTATTTTATATTATGATCGATTATTTTATATTATGATCGATTATTTCACGCAATCAACTCTCGTTCAAGCGAAGAAACCTCTCGCTTGAGCGAGGAAATCTGTAACAAAGGGGTAATCTTGGGTCAATTCTCGCTCGAAGAAACCCTTCGCTTGAGCGAGGAAATCTGTAACAAAGGAGTAATCTCGGGTCAATTTTCGCTCAAGCGACAGGTATTTTCGCTTGAGTGAGAAGTGATTAAAATATGTGGTGACCCAAGTTGCGTTATGTGGCTAACTGCGTTGGACGTTTAGCCTGTGGTCAATTTTTGCTCAAACGATGAGTTACTTCGTTATGTGTCACTTTTAAGAGCGGTTAATATTTTAACCGCTCTTAAAAGTGAGCATATAATAGCGGTTTCACGTTAACCGTTATCTAAAATATACTTTTAATAGCGGTTAGTTCTAGAACCGCTATCTAAAATCTCGGGTCAATTCTCGCTCTAATGACAGGTATTTTCGCTTGAGCGAAAAGTGATTGAAATATGTGGTGAGCCAAATTGCATTATGTAGCTAACTGCGTTGGACGTTTAGCATGTGGTCAATAACTTTGCCTGAGTCCATGATTTCCTTCTTCCGCCTTTCTCTTTCAATCCTTTTTTAATTTCCCACCTCTTCCTCTTTTACTTTTCTCAAACCTCCAAATTCAATTTTAGAACATAAACTTTTTGTCATCCTCATGACAATCCTAGATGTACCTGTCTCTTTGATATCTTTCTCACTTTTTGACTGTATCTCTTTTTCACCATCGTCATGACCTTCATCCTCTAATAAGCTCATATCTTCCATCTGTTTTCCCGTGTCTTCACCATCTTCATCTTCATCTTGCTTCTCCTTTTCCTTGTCTTGTTCGTCAATCAGATCTTCTACTTCTTCAGGCTCTTCCTCTTTAATTCTTTCTCCATCATGTCCAATAATGCTATCATTCCTTTCATGTTCATTTTCTTCTGTATCCTCCATCAATTCAAACAGTTTATCATTTGACCATGGTTTCAACCCTTTTCTTCCAAGTATTTTTGTTTCAGGACCAGCCTTCAGATTTTCAAATATTTTTGCTGAGCTTTCCTCATACGGATTCTCATCATGTGAGTATTGTTTGAGTTGGTAAAGCAACCATATGCCGACAGCAATCAAAGTAAATATTTTAAAACCTTGTTTTACCTTAAAGCTCTTGGTCCTCTGATTTCTGTTTGATAATTGCTTCAACATGGTTTACTCATTAAAGAACAACAGGTGTTGGCAGAATCTGTGCAAGGAAGAAATTGGTGTGACTAAAAGCATATAAAAAAAAAAAATGTCAAACAAGCATAAGCCAAAGTCTTACAGAGAGGAAACATATAAGTCATGCCTGTAGAAAAAATAATTCAGAATTCTGTGCCATAAGATAATAATATTATGTCATATTGAGGCAGAGTAAAGCAACTAAAGAAATTAATTAACAAGTTTCTATCTCAATATGACAGTAGTGTTATTTCTCCATTTTTTTTTTCCACACATTTAACTTTGTTCAGTTAAATCAGTATTTTACCAGATCCTTGCTTGCTTGAAATACAGTTATCAACAAATTGGAAATAAGGAATTCCACAAATAATTTTTTTTCCTTCTGCTAAACTTCTTCTAGGTTCATAAACCCAATGGGAAAAAGTGAGCTATGAAGGGCATGTTTGATGCCGTTTTCACTTTTTGCTTTTTAAAACTATTGTCTTAAAGAATTCCACAGTACTCATCTTGACCAATCAAAATCCATTAAATTTTGAAATTCCAAAAACAAGTATTTCTGATCTCTTTTTACCATGTTCGACCTCTCTTTCAACTCCACCCTCTGTTTTGCGCCTTGCACTCTACTAGTTGTCTGTCTGAACAACTTTGTTTAGTTGCACGTTAAGAAAATAGAAATCACACACATCCTATACACCACTCTTTCCTCGAGGGAAATCCATACTTCAATTCTTTAGCCTCCACTTTACGAGTGGATTGTATAAACAAGTTCACTATTAAAGAAAGTCTTCCAATTCAATTAACATTTAAGCAGCAAAATCCGTATTAAAACAGGCTTGCTAGTTGCTAGCTACTTCAAACTTGGAATATAATGGTGAGATGGGTTAGCACATGGTTCAAGTCCAAGCTTTGTGGACAAGTAGTAATAGTATTATACTATTCAAAAAAAGAGACACACAATGAAAGCAAAAGAGAGAAAGTTCATATACATGCCTCGAGGATAACCGGGAGCCATAAGAGTTGATGGTTTGAAGTTGAGTACAACTATTGATCACAGGTTAAACGTCCAACGTCCAACGCAGTTAGCCGCATAATGCAATTTGGCTCACCATATTTTTCAATCACTTCTCGCTCAAGCGTAAATACCCGTCGCTAGAACGAGAATTGACCCGAGATTTTAGATAGCGGTTCTAGAACTAACCGCTATTAAAAGTATATTTTAGATAACGGTTAACGTGGAACCGCTATTATATGTTCACTTTTAAGAGCGGTTAAAATATTAACCGCTCTTAAAAGTGACACATAACGAAGTAACTCATCGCTTGAGCGAGAATTGACCACAGGCTAAACGTCCAACGCAGTTAGCCACATAACGCAACTTGGGTCACCACATATTTTAATCACTTCTCGCTCAAGCGAAAATACCTGTCGCTTGAGCGAAAATTGACCCGAGATTACACCTTTGTTACAGATTTCCTCGCTCAAACGAAGGGTTTCTTCGCTTGAGTGAGAATTGACCCGAGATTACCCCTTTGTTACAGATTTCCTCGCTCAAGCGAGGGGTTTCTTCGCTTGAGCGAGAGTTGATTGCGCGAAATAATCGATCATAATATAAAATAATAGATTATTTTAATACGTGAACAGTAAAGAATGCTAGTTGTGTAAATAATGTTTCAGACGTGCTATTTTGAAAAATATTTTTAAAAATAGTATTATTTAGGAAAAAAAGTCACACCTGAACTGTTTATTTATTTTTATCTTATATATTATAAAATAATTACTCTTTCACCATTTTTTTTAAGGCAATATAAAATAAAATAGAAATATAATAAAAAAACAGTTATGAAATATAATTAGTCTCTTACAATTTTTTATTATTCGCAAAAATTCTTAATTTATTTTGTTTTTCTCGATAAAAAAGCAATAAAAAGTATGATATAAATTATTGCAATGAATTTATATTTTTTGTAGTATTTTTGAAAAAGATTATCAAGAGAACTAACTTTTTTTTTTCAAAATTAAAATATGTATAAATTATATTTTAACTTGCAAAAAAAATACAAAAAGTATGATTAATTATATAACCCACTAAGTCGAATTTTAACAAATAAAAATTTTAATAAATAAAAAGATAATGAAATACATGAAAGAAATCATCAATACCATATCATTAAAGGATTCTTAGTAATGTAATTAAAATCAAACCCAATTAAGCAGATAATAGATTTGTATAAAACAAACTAATAAGTCATTAAATAAGATAAAAATAATCGAGGATTAAAATCTAAATCAATATTTTGAATTTAATTTAATCTACTAATTTTATTTATATATTTTTTTTTCTCATTTTACAGTTATAATTTTTTTATCAAAACAAGGAGTGAAAAAGATATTCAAATAATTACAAACCTTAGCTCATCTATTCTTTTTATTATATTTTTTTTCTTATATTCTTACAATGTATATTTAGCGTTTAATTATTTATCATACTTTAACTTTAAAACAATAATAATAACAATACAAATACAGATACCCATTTTTTCTTTATCATATATATATATATATATATATATATATATATATATACAGTTTTGTTCTCTCAAAATCATCTTCGTAGACCCAATCTATAATTCGAACGAACTATACGTTGCAAGGCGTCAAGCAGAGTTCTGACCGTAGATTAGAAAACCTAATTTGCTTCTTTGCACACCGTCGGAGGTATAGTGTTTAATTCTCTTCCTTTCTCTAATTTTTTCTATGCTTTAACCTTTACCACTCGTATTTCTTTCCGATTGTTGTTAAAGAGAGGGTTTTAAGGGATCATACATAGTGTCTAACATGTACCCTGTCAGATCCTGTTTCCTTCAAAATTAGGTTAAGTTTGTCAAGTTGTAAAGTTCTCGTTAGCATTTAGGGTAAATGTTTATTTTATTTTATTTTTTAAATTATACTGATTTATTTGTTCTGTTATAGGTTTATGGGTCTGTAATCATTGATTGTGTCTCAGATTCTGTTTCTTTTTCATGTTCTAGTTTACGAAAATTGAGTTCCTGCGGCTGCAGGACAACCCTACAACTAAACTGCAAATTTTAATTGCTCTTGCAAATCGTCTACAGAGTAGATAAAGATTTATCTATTATGTTTTTGTATTTTGCATTTTTTATTTATTTATCATTATCTTGTATATTCGCATCCAAGACCGGAAAGCACTTAATAAACCTTTTCAGTTTCCCATTATCAATTCCTTGAATCAACGAGTTATATTTAGCATTAGCCCACCACGCAGATTGATAATAAGTTAAGGTTTAGAATTAGGTAAAATTTTATGATTTGTTATTTGAATTATCAAATTGGATTTCTGCCTTATAGACAAATTTTTGTATTATCATGTTTTTTGGATAGTGTACAGATAATATGTATGTGGTATGGTTAAGTGCATCGGATCTATCTTTCTTCTTTTTATGAAAACTTTGAGATCTCTAAATTACCGTTGGATTTTGTTTCTAATCATTTTGTTTTTTTCTTTTATTTTTCAGCGTTAATTTGAGCGGGTTGATATGTACAATGGAATAGGGTTACAGACCCCAAGAGGGTCAGGTACTAATGGGTACATTCAGAGTAACAAGTTCTTTGTCAAGCCAAAAGTTTCAAAGGTTGCAGAAAACACAAGGGGGTTTGAGGCAGATCAAGGCACTGCTGGGCTTACCAGGAAGCCCAACAAAGAAATCCTTGAGCATGACCGCAAGCGTCAGATTCAGCTCAAGCTCGTCATCCTAGAAGATAAGCTCATTGATCAAGGCTACAGTGATGCTGAGGTAGCAGAGAAACTCGAAGAAGCTCGCCAAAATTTGGAAGCTGCTGCCACCGATGAAACGGATGGACTTGAAGCTGTATCTGCATCAGATAAGAAGTAAAACATAAGTAACAAAGTTTTATGGAGTAAATTATCCATGCCAAGTTATAGCTATAAATGCATATTGTTCAAGAACTTGCTTTAATTCTCAATTTAAAAGATGCGTACTCAAACTTTTCTCAAGTTTGAAAGATATCCCACAACCTGAAGTTAAACAACAGCATGGTGTTGGTTCTTTTTTATGTTAGCAACTTTTATATTTTAGCTCCAAGACAAACACCACCTGGTCCCAACTTTTGACTTTGGGCCATAAGTTATCTATTGGACCCTTTTATATATGGACCCTTTTATTTCTGTTCAATAGGTCTTAAAATTATATTTTATTATTGATCATGAATTTTGTTTTTGCCATACACAACTTGTGATTCGGAAAATGAGCCCTGCTATTCACACTTTGTATCCTGATTCAACTACTATGCTTGCATGTTTGATACTAGGGATGTAAGGTTGTTTTAATTATTTTAGTGGTTCCTTGTTGATAAATGTTTTGAAGGCATAGATGCAGATTAATGTGATGCTAATTACCTCTGTCCATTTGGCAATGGAGTATATGTCACTTTTAGAATGCTGTGTGTAAAGTTTTATGCATAGATATGATTAATAAAAATTCTTTTGGGGATTTTTCAGGGTTTCAGATACACAGACTCATCAAATTGCTGCTAGGAAAGAAAAACAGATGGAATCATTAAAAGCTGCTCTTGGCATTGTGTCATCTGAAGCCAATGAAATAAATGCAGATGGGACCGATGGCCTGGGGAATGATGGGAAAAGTGGCTCTAATATGGAGGGGAAACATAATTCAAAGCCTGAACATGCCTTTCTGGACAGAGATTTCAGTCGGAAGAAACAAATGGTTGAAGATCAAAAGGATGAAAATATTAAGGGCCGTAGAGATACAAGGCACAACAAGAAGGTTGAAACTCGCAAGAAAAGTTCTGAGGATGACTCTTCTGATTCAGACAAGTCTTCTTCTGATGAGAAAAGAGGTCCAAAGAAGCGTGGTAAAAAGTATACAAGCAGCAGTGATGAATCTGATTCTAATAGTGATGTTAAGAGGAAGGTCAATGCTGAAAAGAAGATGAAGAATTCTAAGCACCACAAGAAGGGTAGGATTGAGGCTAGTGATGATAGTGATTCTTCCTATGATTCTGATGACAGCAGTATTGCAAGAAAAAGTTATAAGAAGAGACAAGAGTCACGTAAGAGGCATTCTTCAGAGGACAATTCTGATGACAGCAGTATTGCAAGAAAAAGTTATAAGAAGAGACAAGAGTCACGTAAGAGGCATGCTTCAGATGATGATTCTGATGATCATGATGAAGTCCCCAAGCATAAGACTAAGGAAGGGATGCAACATTCAAAAATGAGTAAACGTCATGATTCTGAGGAGGAATCTGATGTTGACAGTGAGGAGAAGAAATATGGTAGACTTCAGAAGCAGAGGACAAGGAGGCATAATTCTGATGATGAGGATTATGATAAAGACCGTGCTAGACATGCATTGGCTCACAAGAGATATTTTAGAAGGGGATCATACACTTCCTCAAACAATAGCAGTGACACTGATTCAGACAGAAATTCTAGTGATCACCGATACGAAAAAACAAAAAAAGGTGGTTCTGCTGTAGCAAAGAAAGGTAAAGGATATGACATGGAAGAAAATAAATCCAGAGATAGTGGTGCAGAAAAAGGGAAGAACATTGGTAATGTTGATGCATTGGACTCTCTAAAAAAGTCATATGGGAGAGATTTTACAAAGGGACCAGATAGTAGGACTCAAGAAATGACACAAGGTAACAGGAAAATTGATGCAGAGAGAGATAGGGAGCCCTACCCATTTGCCAAAAATGATAGAAAAATCGAGTCTGATTCCAAAGCAGTTAGGCTTGCGTGGCGTGATGACGATACCTCTGAGCAGAGAGGCAGAAATTATCATAACAAGGATGTTGAATCACATTTTGTTGATCGATTTGGTGAGGATCATGAAGCAAGGAGGCATAGAAGAGGCGGTGATAATCATTGGGAGCATGAGCAAAGAAGGGATAATGATGAACGTGGAGAAAGAAAGCATGGAAGGGATGGAGATCGCACAGGAAGAAATCACTCAAGGACTGAAGATGTTGGAGAAAGAAAGCATGCCAGGGATGAAGATGAATCTAAAGAAGGGAAGCACAGAAGGCATGAGGATGGCCGTGGAGATGACCGAACAGGAAGAAAGCACTCAAGATATGACGATGATCTTGGGGAAAGAAAACATGCAAGGGACGAGGATGATTCTAAAGAAGGGAAGCGCAGAAAGGATGAAGATGACCATGGAAAGAGGAAGAACTTGAGGAGTGAAGTTGACCATGTTGAGAGGAAGCGAGGAAGGGATGAAGATTATCAAGCAGGAAGAAATTACACAAGGGATGAGGATGAACATAGAGAAAGAAAGTTCAGGAGGGACGAGGATGATCGTGCAGGAAGAAAGTTCAGAAGGGATGATGATGATGATGATGATTATGGAGAAAGGAAGCACTTAAGGGACGAGGGTGGTGTTCATAAGGAAGCAAAACACAAAAGGGTTGAGGTTGGTCGTGGAGAACGAAAGAACCCAAGGGAGGAGGATGATAGAGAGAGAAAAGATTCAAAGGATGATGGTCGTGGAGAAAGAAAGCACAGAAGGGATGATGATGATGATGATGATGAAGATGGTCATGAAGAAAGAAAGCAGCGCAGAAGGGATGATGATGGCAGAGGAGAAAGAAAGCACCGGAGGGAGGAGGAAGAGCGCAGAAGGGATGAGAGGGAAAGCCGCGGAGAATATTCCAAGAGAGCCAAATACTAATGTTCTCCTTCAAGTGGAGGAATGAAAGGCTTGTGAACTGTGATCCAAGCATTGAGAATACTTATTTACTGCTTTAATCCTTGAATTGCTTGTGTGTAATTTTGTTGTCTAATACTTTTACATTTTGAAGGATGTAATTTGTGTTTGAAATATTTTCATGCGTGCTTGTTTCGAATTCTATGTTATGCTGTGACTGGTATAGTGTGACTACTATTTGCATGAAGGGCAATGCTTTTCTTTTGCATGGAGAAGTGAATTAGTTGAGGGTTTATTTGATTTTTCTATCCGTAGTTTATGCATGCCAGCTATTGGCTGTTTTCGAAAAATGAATATACGATATATAATTATTACACACGCCACCAACTGGAAATTCATTTTCACTTTTTGTTTAAATTATATTTCAGACGCTTGGGTGAAAAATCAGGCTTATCAAGTATAATTGGTGTTCTTGAATACGATAAAAAAAAAAAAAACCTTTTACATTGGTATCTGTGCCGATTTTTTATTTAACGTGGAATAATGATATCATCTATTATGAACCAACAAACCTCTTACAATATATAGGCTTAAACTTAAACACTCGATTACCATTTTTAGTATCTCATGTGAGTTTGATCATTAAATTTTTATTACGTAAATGGGTTTTTTAAACGTAAATGTTTTTTTTTTTAACAATCTATGTTGATTTCATCCAACTTAATTTGTTTTTAATATCATTAATCTAAGTTGATTCCATCCAACGTAAGTGGTTCTTAATATCATTAATTTGTTTAAAATAAGAAGACATTCTTTGTTGTTCATATGTAACAATAATAATAATAATTTGTCATACAATCCAACCCACGATATTAAACTTCAAATATTATAGTTTTCAAAATATTGTAGTTTTCAAGATGAAATGCTACAATCTGGATGGGGAAGGAAACGAAAGTGCACATTACATATGTTTTGGTCCTTGCTTGAGAGAAAAACTATGATGAGATTTAAGAATACATATAAGAAAGAAAATGATGGTACTATTTTATTACAATTGGTAAGAAATTTCCTACCAATCAAGATGACTGAAAAGGTATAACAAAATCACATATTCAGAGAGAAAACGTAAGAGAATTTTCAGAGAGAGAGATCCAGGTTTATTCCCGCCCACTACCTCCTTCTCCCTCTCCCTATATGAAAGATTCCTCACACAAATTCTTTCAACATGCTATTGCGGTTACGTGTCCTAGTCCCATGTCTCACTTCCTGAATTTCCGGATTGTTAGCAACTACCCAATCATTTCCCATATTTTGCCCCTCTCTTTGTATATTTGTTGCATCGTTATTTATCATGTAAGTTTGTCCAGCTCGCACCTTCATTACATTACCTTCCCCTTTCAGAACAACCTTATCCTCAAGGTTGATATGAGGGAAACTATTTTTAATAAACTCGACATCCTCACAAGAAGTATTAGCATTGTTACAATTATCCCATTGGACCAAAACCTGAGAACACAACTTAAAACCGTGTAAGGGTTTTCAAACAAATTATTTGGACCAAATGTTTGGACCAAGACTTGGGATTTTCAAAAGTGAAACAGCGCAAGAACATCTCTAAACATTTTTTCAAGGCCTCTGCTTGACCATCCGTTTGTGGATGGTAAGCGGAACTCATAGTAAGTGTTGTGCCCTGCAACTTAAATAAGTGTTGCCAAAAAGAACTAGTGAAAACTTTGTCGCGATCCGACACGATGGACTTTGGAATGCCATGTAACTTGACAATATGCAACATGAATGCTTCAGCCATGACTTTGCTACTGTAGTTTGATTTTAAAGGCACAAAATGGCTGTATTTGGAAAGTCTATCGATCACCACCATAATAAATGTGAACCCACATGAATTTGGCAACCCAATGATGAAATCTATGGCGATATCCTCCCATACTTGTTGGGGTATAGGTAGCGGTTGTAACAAACCTGTAGGGAGTGAGTGACTCGCTTTGTCCTGTTGACATATAATGCATTGTTGCACAAACTTAGTAACGTCTGCTCGCATTGTAGGCCAATAAAATTGAGAGGAAAGACGTGCTAATGTTCTGGCAATACCAGCATGGCCCCCAATTGGTGAACTATGATATTCCAGAAACACCTTTTCAATCAAAGGACTTGGTGCGGGTAACACTAGGCAATCCTTCCAATAAAGCAACCCATCTTGCACTTTGTAACGCGCATCAATATGACCATTTGCCAAACATAATTGAATGAGTTCATGAAATTTAGAATCAGCCTCAAGAGCATGCTTTAACTCGAGTAAGAATTGTGACTTAGGCTTGGACCAAGCCATAAAAAAACATGTGACAATGCATCGACAACAATGTTCTCTTTCCATGGTTTATATTCAATTGTGAAGTCATAGCCCATAAATTTATGCAGCTAAGCTTGTTGCTCAGGAGTTTGTAAGGACTGGTCTAGCAAACTTTTTAAACTTTGGTGATCTGTTCGGATGACAAATTTATGCCCCAACAAATAATGACGAAATTTTGCCAACGCTTGGGTGATAGCAAACAATTCTCTAATATAGGCGGATTGTTTCTGTATTCTAGGTGCCATCTTTTTGGAGAAAAAAGCAATTGGGTGACCATGTTGACTCAACATTGCACCAATTCCAGTTCCTGAAGCATCAGTTTCAAGAGTAAAAGGTTGAGTAAAATTAGGAAGGGCCAAGACGGGGGTTGTAGTAATGGCTTGTTTTAATAATTGAAATGCGTCATCGACATTAGTAGTCCAAGCAAAAGCTTCCTTTTTCAGCAAATCAGTAAGGGAAGCCACAATAGTAGCATAAGACTTGATGAAACGTCTATAATATCCGGTGAGTCCCAAGAAACCTCGTAGTTGTTTGACATTCTCCGGACGAGGCCATTCCAACACTGCTTGGACCTTACTCTTGTCCATCGTGACCCCAGAACCCGACACCACATGTCCCAAATAATCTACTGCTAGTAGGCCGAAAGAACACTTAGAAAGTCGAGCATACAACACATGTTTTTATAAAGTCTGCAAAACTGATTCCAAATGAGCCAAATGCGCCACCCAAGAGGGGCTATGAAAGAATTAATGGTTGAGTTCAAGAGGGGGGGTGAATTGAACTTTAAAACTTTTTCGCAAAACTTACTTTCTTTTGGAAGAATGAGTTATCTTTATTCAATTCTTGCAAAGATAATTTGGTTTTAAACACAACAAGTTTATAGACAGAAAAAAAAAGAGATGAAAGAAGAAATTCAACACACAAATTTATACTGGTTCACTCTAATCCAGAGCTACATCCAGTTCTTGACAAACCTGTCAAGTTTCCACTAATACCAAGTGAAAAATACAAAACCGTAGATGTTCACCAATCTACACCAAGAACTATCTTACAAACCCACAAGATAGAATCTTGAAAACCACCCAGTAACCAAATCCAGTTACTGTACCAAGTGGAGATCACAATCCAACCTGCACAATCACACTTTTACAAAAGAGTATGGAAAGAAAAACCTGTACTTGAAGTTCTAATTGTCCGAACGAATTCTAACAACACTTTCTCTCTTTGATTGACCATAATTCTGATCACAAGACCTTATGATATGAAAAGATTCTTGAATGCGTAGAAAGTCACGTATATGAAAGTTTCACAGATTGATTTCACAAGTTTTCTCAAGTAGTGTGTTGTGTTGTTTTTCAAAAGATAGATCAATTCTCGTATATATAGAGTAAAACATAGAATCGAACGTTTCATCCGTCAATAATTGTTTCGTAGAGTCAAATGATCGATTAGTTTGAGAGTATAACGAGAGCTTAGAAGATGATTCGATCGATCGAGTTATGACGATCGAAGCTATGATCGATCAGAGTACATTTCAATCGATTGAAACCACGATTCAATCGATTGATTTCATTTAAAAGTTCATTTAATCGATTGTTTCGAGTTTTCAATGGATTGAAACAGACTTTATGAAAAATGATAGCTCTCTGTTTCAATCGATTGAAAATCATTTCAACAGATTGAAATCCTGCAGACTTTTAAACGAAAAAATAACCTCTCTGTTTCAACAGATTGAAAAATATTTCAACAGATTGATTTTCCGAAAACTCTTAGATTGAAAAAATAGTCTTTCTCGTTTCAACAGATTAAAAATCATTTCAACAGATTGAAAATGCGAAACTTTGATATTGAAAAATTCATTGAGTTATTTTAACTTGTTGATCCTTCGAATCAATCAATTGAAAATACGACTATGTATGATCACTTATTATGTTGAGTGATTTTAACAGATTGAAAATCCTTTTCAACAGATTGAAAAAACTTAGTTTGTTCTTTTAATACTTAAATGTAAGTTTTTCATGCAGAAAAATGATTTTCAATGGGATGCAACATTATAAGGCGCTTATCACAAAATATAATGGACTATCAAGAGATTAAGTGCTTAAACTTAAAACCTAATCATCTACACACCCACAACCTAAGCCATATCTATGTCTTCATCAAATCCACCAAGTGCTTCAATCTCCCCTATTTGATGGAGACAAATAACCATTGCACTCGCATAAAAAATAATGCACCGGAGACATATATTTTGTGGTGTGTGTGTAGTGATAGCTTTAAGCAAAATACTTCTCCCCTATTTGATCGCATCAAATAGATTGTTTTAGTTACGATCCAATGGGACCACGTGGGTACCCCAAATATAAAACAGAACATTAAAAACTAAGAAAAGAAAACGTAATAACGTAAACATAAAAAGTCTTCATTCGTCCCCGGGCCTTGATTGAATTGTAGTTCCACAATCCCGTTGTAAATGTCTTCTAGTTGATTATCAATATGTTGGAACCTTGCAATGAAATTTTCATCCAAATAATGCTGCCGAGCCCTCGGAGCGACAGATCATCTCCATATGCCTCCTTTGGTCCGATTGCAGCTCGCTCATTTGATGTAACATTGTTCTTTCAAACCGAGACAAGGGCGTGCCACTGTCAAGGCAGTG